GATATATAGATGTGTAACCTATACATTATTTATATTATAATTTAGTGTTTTATATTAGTTTGATGTTAATATTATGACAATTTTTAGAAATATGTATTAGACTTTAATATAAAATATTCACTAACATAGTAAGATTTTCTCGAAATTGGGAAATGCAGTGTATAGAAAATAAAAATATACTAAAATATAGGGAATTAAGTATCAAGTACAAAAGATAAAAAAAAATACCATTTAGTGAAAAATATGAAACAAAATTAATTTATTAAATTTGGATTTTACAAATATCACAACTTATTATATATCTTAACTTTTTTTGAACTAAGTAATAAAAAATAAAATAAAAGATTGTATACAATTTTCTTACAAGTAATTTAAATTTCAACACAGGTACTTTTCCCCAAAATGATGCCTCCTAAGCTCATTATTTTTCCTCGTTAAGGAATCTATAGGTTACACATCTATGGAGAATAGTAATAACAAAAGAGTTAAAATGCGGAATCTTTAGGTTCATGATAATTTTAATTTGAGAAGTAAAACTTAAATATTGTATTCTATTTTTACAGTACATAATATTTAACATGACTTGTACATTTGCAATGTTTTGATAGGAAAAGTTTGGATTAGGGGACTATTTGGAGCATCGGCAGTGCAGTTGGCGCTTGACCGGATCATATTTTACATATCCAGGTACGATCTCCGCTATATAGTAATGAGTTCTTCGAATTTCATGATAACATCCATCAGACATTCTTACTGTAATTACAAATTGCATATAACTGCATAGAAATTCAAAGATATGTGCGAAGTCAACCAACCGTCACTGGCTCTGCATTGTTGAATAAGACCTAGTCGCATTCTTGAGGGTAGGCTCCGAGCTCCTCAGTGGAGTATAGTGTGTCCGTATAGTGAGCTTGATGATGACGATTTGTTTTGCTTCAATGCATATTGTCTTGTTAGCTAGTTAATTTTCTAAATATTTTACCAACAGAGAGGAGCTAATCTCTTTCCAGTGTTATTCTATTTCTCAAGACAAGAGTGGCACTACTACTCCGGTTCCATCAGAAAATATGATCTATCAAATAAACAAACTGGAACAAATAAGCATTTATCAAAGTTGGGGGTATTTTGTTGGTGAACTAAACAATAATGGTATTATTACGAAAGCAATGAGCATTATGTTGCGTTCTTAAAATATGTTCGCTTTAGTCAGAAGATTAAATAAAGTTGCAATTAACGAAATTGTTTTATTTTTCCAAAATTGTTTTCCCTCGAATAATACTTTCAAACGTCAAAACGGAAATTGACAGATTGATTTTTTTAGGTTGGTAGCAACGTAGACTTGTTCATAATATTGCTAGCATTGAAAATGTCAATTTTTATTCTCCGTTTGTGTATCTAATTAGTCAAGAGTCCCGTCTCTTATTTTATATACTCTTTGGTTATTACTATAATTTTGGATAATCAAAATATCAGCATTAACTTTTTAAAAAATATTGTTTTTTTACTAACTGTACTTTTGGCGATCAGCTCAGCTTACGCCGCGAGGACTGTACTCTTTGCGACTGAAAAGTGTAGGACAGTCTTTCCCAAAGTGGGCGATAACGCCCCCTTGTGGGCTCTGCAGGTCTCAAATTGCGGATTATAGTAAAAGTTTTGTTTGGAATTCTCCGTTAATATACATATATTCATTAATTAATTTAATTTTAAGTTAAAAAAAATATTTAGTCCCAAAGTGGGCAGTAGATAAAATAAGTTTGGAAACCGCTGCTATAGGATACTCTTATGACCTAAAGGTCTATGTTACCAGGTCATAAAATAAAATTAAAAAAAAATAGGATACTCTTTGACTGCTTTGACTGAAAATCTCAAATTCTCATAACCTATAGCTGACGTTTATTAATTTTCTAATTACCGTTTCATTAAATTGAACTAAACTTGTTATTATAATCGTTGCTATTTTATTTTGATTCATCAAATCATCTTATAATTGTGACATTACAATTACAAATATACATAAATTTATTTATACTTTAATAAAAGACATCATGCAAAACATCAAGATGGATCTTTATGTATGTATCGGCGGAACTCAAAAATGATTAAATGATTACAGATAGTTCTCATTACTTGTAATTTTTGGGCTTCTTTTAAAGGTCAATCAAAGAGGTGAACAATGGATGATTCTAACAAATTTCAACAAATGCAAGATGAGATGTCAAGGTAAGCTTGCAATTTTATTTTGGTCTCCTAAGCAAGAAGGCTTTCTTCTTTATATTTTTATTAAGGCGAGGTTTAGAATCAGTGTCGCCATAACATACAATTATTTTTAGGTTTGAAGCGGAAATATCGGGTTCGGAGATTGCCGCGAATCCCAGAGCGGTGATTAGCTCGAGCACGTTTGGAGCGGCTCAGCAGCGGTTGGAGCGCGTGCCTCCGCCACCGCCGCCGCCCGCTTTGCTACCGCCGCCCTTCGAGTCGGGCGTCATAGACCCTGGCATGATGGGCACAGGCCTGATGTACCCTGGAGTGCCACAACCCACTCCATCTTCACTCATGGTTCCAGCTTCGGTATTTATATTATTTAAAATGATTTTTTTAGGCATCCGTGTTTAATTTAATCTATTATTCATATAAAACTGTTGATTAACTTTCCAGGTGCAAAGATTAAGACCTTCTGGCCCTTCAGATCCATACCCAGGCCCAATGCCATTCCTCCGACCCGGACTGCCGGGTCCGCAGCTGATTCCCCCACCCCCACCAAAGCCCCAGCCTGTAGTGCTCTCTGCTGCTCCCAAACTGTACAAGCAAAATAAAGATGATGATGACAAGAAGGAAAAAGAGGGCAAAAAGAGGGTATGTTCAAGTTTTATTTAATTATAAACCATGTATATTGAATTTAAGAAATTATTATTTATACTTTACAATTGGCAAAAGTATGAATAAAAGAAAAGAAAATTAGATATGTTACAAAATTTTTGAAAACTTATATAAGTTTAGATATACACATTATTTCATAATCCGCAGAGGGCGTAAAATTTTCTACTTGCGGATTGTAAATTTTTCATAAAGTAATTTCCAAAGCAATCAAGAATATACAACGAGAGAAATAAAATGGAGAGTTCACAATTTGAATAAATTCCATATCTGTTCACTTATCTTTTAATAATGAACCTGCAGAAACGCGAACCTTCGCCCGTGGTCGAGGTGGTTGTGCCGCGCGAGCCGACGCCACCGCCCGCGCCTGCGCCGCCCCCGCCACAAGACACAGCACCCAAACTCAAGAAGGAGAAGAAACATAGAAAGGTAAAGAAACTTGTCAGCAACCCGTCGAGAAGGCCATCTAATCTAAACAGTGAGCTATTAGTTGGACTTTGCTGGCCCAACTCAAATAGGTTGACTTCACATGAATCTTGAATTACCTCACAGATATGTAGGTTTCCTTTCATGTTATTAACTCGGGAATATATTTGAAATATCTAAATATAGTTTAATTGTATTGCAGGTGATAAGAACGGCAGGCGGACAGGTATGGGAAGACGTGACACTGCTGGACTGGCCCGATGACGACTTCAGGATGTTCTGCGGAGACCTCGGAAATGATGTCACTGATGAACTATTGGTAACAAACATTTGTATTATATGCATGTGTAGTTTTAATTGTCTGTTTATAATAATCTATTTTTAATTATTCCTAATATAATTTATAATTGAGATATGAAGAACCTTTACTTATAAGGCTTGATTCATATATAATTTATACCATACTAGCTGTCGCCCACGACTCCTTTGGCGCGGAATTAAAAAGAAAACTTAATTAGTAGTCTGTGTTCTTCCAGACTGTGTTTTACATCTGTGCTAAATATCAGCAAGATGGATGCATCCATGGTGATACCTTCAAACTATCATCCATCCTTCCATCTATTATAATATAATGTTAATAATTATAAATAATTTTCAGACAAGAACATTCAGTAAATATACATCGTTCCAACGCGCTAAAGTGATCAGAGACAAGAGAACGAACAAGAGCAAAGGCTTCGGTTTTGTCAGCTTCAAGGATCCCGGAGATTTTATTAAGGCTATGAAAGAAATGGATGGTAAGTAACACTTGACTTCTATGGATATGATATTTTCTAGAATTAGGGGTCCAGCACTTGACTTACAATCTGTAGGTCCTGGGTCCGAATCTTGACATGTACCAATGTGTTTTTTGATTTCCGATTTACATATGTACATTTATCCGAAGTTCTTATGGTGAAGGAAAACATCGTGATGCAACCTGCACATATCTAAAAAGAAATTCAGATATATGTGTGAAGTCAACCAACCTGCACTTGGCCAGTGTGGTTGACTATGGCCATCATCTTTAACTTAGGGTAGGCTCCGAGCCCCTCCGTGGGGATGTATAGTGAGCTGATGATGATAAAAAAAAACTCAGGTATATTTTAGACTTCGGAGATAATTGTACCTTTTAAGATTAAGAGAGAGAGATTCTATAACAAATTTTGAAAGACTCAACTGTTATGTTTGGATATTATAATTTGTTTAAAGACTAAAAGTTGTTTTTACAAAGAAATGTAATAGTAATTAGTAAATAGATAGTCGATATTAGGTTATAAATAGAAACGAATTTCGCATGCGACCAATCGTCTAATGGAAAAAGGGTTTAAATACTTAATACTTGTTTTGTTTCCAGGTCGGTACGTTGGCAGTAGACCTATAAAGCTGCGCAAGAGCACGTGGCGCAGTCGCGCGCTGGACGTGGTGCGTCGCAAGGAGAAGGAGAAGGCGGCCTTGCTGTCATTGCTCATGGCCGGCAACAAGGCGGCGCAGCATTAAATATACAGACGCGGATATTTATTTCCTATCCGGTTAATTGTCAGTTAACTAGCACAGTCAAATTAAAAAAAAAACTGAAAACTCTAAGTAGGTGGCGCTAGTGTCAAGAGTGGGCTTTCAGCTGTCAAATTCCTGATAGTTAACTGTAGCTGTCATGTCATGGGTTGAATATATTTTCTGACAATTAACCTAGACAGTGACAGCTCACCGGGTCAAATAGATGTGTCGCACTGTATCACATTTCGGGTCAAATAGATTACTGCATTCGAGTTGTTTAGTGGTATCTTAGTGTATTCATTGTGAGAATCATACACTAAGGATCCTTAGCATACTTAACGACCGTGGGTTTCTGAGACCAAAATCCTCGTCCCTGTCATTACCTGTAACATGTTGGTGATAACAATATTTTGTAAAGTGGGCTTTGGTCTCAGAAACGCACGGTGTGTGTGTGGTAATTAATATAATAATTAAATCTTCAAAGCTGTATTTTCAAATATTTTGACTAAAATCGAATAGAAGAAATCCATCTAATTTGTAGGAGAATTTTTAAAACACAGATCCGTAACTAGTGTGATTTTCTATTTTTAATAGGAATGTAATGTGATAATTATATTTTTTAAATAAAACAAATGTTAACAGTATTTTATTTATTGATCCAAACTCTTTGGTTTAACATCGTTAATTGAACTTACGATATTTCTTAAATATAAAAAGAACCCATCAGGGCGGATAATAAAAATTACAAGTCAACCTAATCTTAATCTGATAATCCTAGACTATTAGCATTATTATTAAATTAACTTACAAAAAAAAAATAATTATCAGTCAATGCCCTAAAACATAGTCGTAATTTGTACCACCTTCCTTGGTTCATTATCGAGAGTTTCCTACTATAATACTACTTTGTCATATATACTTTGATATGTTCTCTCTCTGTGTCTCTATACAAATGTTTCGGCAGTGGAAACGCACAGTAAATCGTACAAATGATCTTCATTACTTAAGTTACAAAATAATGTTGCATTTAAAGTAATCAGTATTATAAGATTCAAAGTTTATAGCGGCTCGGATATCTACGAGTTAAGTCCTGACTAAAACCCTAGTCATGTTTATGTGCGACTAGAGAGTCACTAGATATCCAAAAGACCGCACTAAGATTAGTTCCGTAGCATCGCGAGCCGCCATAAAGTTTGAATGTCAGTGTGCAATATCATTCTACAGTATAGTCCGTAATATTATCAGGGTAGTTATATTCTAAGGGGTCAGGTTTGAGACGTTGCGCGCGCAGGCGCACAAGGGGCCGAGGACGCTGCCGCTGCGGGGGAGCGGTGGCGGCTGCCTCGTACTGCTTGTCGAGGCAGCAGCGCAAGTCTCCCTCCTTCAGGCCAGACGTTGCTGGACAGAACGGCGCTGTGAAGTCCTCTACGCAGTACGCACCGGAGGCCCTGAGAATTAACAAATATATAATATAAAAAAAGGTGTAGGAGTAAAGCGTAAAATGTGCGAAAGGTGTTAGAGGTGTGAATGTTAGGTTACTAAGGGGGGACTGACTGCGATAAGCATTGTGTACGTACGTCATGGGTGCGGGTTGTCCTAGTGGCACGGGCAGGGCGGCTGCGCGCGCGGGCGGCACGCGCACTGAGCAACGCCGGCCGCATGGCGCCGCTTGCCGCGCGCGGAACAAGCTCTCAGCCTGGTAGCAGATCGACCACACGTGACTGCATAGCGCTTCGTCTGCAACAGTACATATAACGTTGGGTCATGTGAATTGTCACCACAGTCTACCACGAGGCAGATAACACGTGTAATAATTTGTATATGATTATAAAAGTCTCGAGAAAGCAGGAACGTTGCTTCCGAAATTCGATTACATTCCGTACATCCCGCTGGTCCCAGTGGTCCACCTGGACCACTTAGGGAATTACCTTTAAGAGTATTATATACGAATGTTTATGTACTAACTGGGCGTGTCCTCGCAGTAGGGCTGGCTACGGCCTCCGTTGAGGCAGAAATCGGCATGTCCGAGCCGTGCCGCTTCCCCGTAGCGGCCAGCGTTAGTGTGCAGCACATGCACTGCGCGCGCGTCGCCCGGGTCCAGCCGCAACGCCGGTGCAGACCGGATCAGAGGTCGTGCCGGGTCCAGTCCTAAATGCAACACGTTTAAAGTTATGAAAATCACAATGCCACATTAATTTATGAGCGAAATTGCGCAAAACTTCCGATTGTCTAAAACCATGACTGTTTCCTCATTAAATCAGGCAGATGTTTAAAATTATAATTAAATAAATCTGTATGACTACAGACTTCATGATAACAAAGACTATGTTAATGTACGTACCAATAATTCTATTAAGCCTGAATGTGAGATAGTTTGCGAGTATTCCACACATGTGAGCTCCGAGCGAGTGTCCGACACACGTGAGCCTGTCGGGGCGCAGTCCTGCTTGGCGGAGCGCACCCAGCGCCTGAGCCACGCAGCGTGCCGCAGGCCGCAGATTGTGCACCGCCGCCACGTAGCAGGGCGGCTGGCACAAGGCGCCCCAGTCCACCATCAACACGTTGTAGCCGCCGCGACGTAAGTATGCTGCAATATATGGTGCACATTTGGAGAAAAAGAGGGAATAGGGTAAAACCTTCGTCGCAATCATCCATTGCGACGGCAGAGTCCCGGGATTCCTAAACGAACGCAACGGGACAGAACCCTCTAAAGTCTACCAAAGTCCCGGCGATCGCTTCATCATTTTTTTTGAGGGATCAACGAAGAAAAACGTTTGAGAATATTTGTGTTGGAGGAAGTAACAATGGAATTTAAGTATATTTGTAAAATAGGAAGAAAATTCCAATAAACAAACGCGTTTCTCCACTATAAATGGAATATAAAGAAACTTTTCACGTCAACTTCATCTTACGTAAGTCTTGGTGTTTCCTGATTCTAGGCATTGCCTTTTACATGACTAGAATAAATGTAAGATGGCGACATAAAGCGATTAACTGAAGTTTATATGACTACTAGCTGTCGCCCGTAACTCCGTCCGCGCGGAGTGGAAAGAAAATTAGTAGCGTATGTGTTCTTCTAAACTATGCTCTACATCTATGCCAAATTTTAGCGAGATCCGTTCAGCCGTACTTCATATACCTTCAAACGAACATCCATCCATACCTTCGCATTTATAATATTAGTAAGATTAGGTATTTATCATACCAAAATTTTGAAGATTAAATAAATTAGCAAATTATAACAATCGCTTCACTTGTTATGAACATTAAAGAAATTGCCAACATGTTAGGAACGGATAAATTGTCTCCGGGAATCCAGTACTTGAAACAGATCTACTGTTATTTATTATTACCCAAACAAATTTAGGAATAATTACATTTTATTTATATGTAGATAACAAATGTTGAAGCTTATAGCATTTAACAATGTTGCAGACGATACGTCAAATGTTAATAGCTTCAACAAAGGGAGAAAGTTGTGGGAAATGTGTAAAATGCATAGCGTCTTGTTAAGTTGCATCACCAGGATGACTTTCACTCTCCTTGTTGCTTATGTTGAGTTTACATGGACACAAACCACTTATGTATCTATCTTACTTATTACTAATGTTATTATTGCAAAGGTTTAGGTGGATACATAGATAAATTATTGTCAATGTAACGTAGGCCATTTGCTAAGTTCGTATAATTCCACACGAACGAACTCGTGATCGAGGCTAGTAATATTACGAAAAACAGTTAAGTTTGTCCGTTATATTTTCAAAGCGACTTTGATTTGCGATAACGTCACGTATCTAAATTAACGTGCATATAGATTGAATGAAGTAATTAATTTTAATTAGTGTTATCGTACGTAATACGCAAACCTTTTTTGTCTCTATTTTTACAAAGGAAATGAAAAGGACGACACTATGTTTTAATTTGTTGGCATAGACTCAAAGAACAAAAGAAACGGATGAAGCATGAGAAACATTCAATTGTTTGAAGTCAAATATGATACAGTGGGAATTATCAAAAGGAAGTTAGGATGTTGGTGAATAGACATCGATTCATAGAGCAAGGGAAATTTTATTTTCATATTACATTCAATGTTTTTAAAGTTATGAGAAATTACAGTCAATTGAATTTTGCGTCTGTACCATAATTATCAATCCTATCGAGGGTTATCAAAGCCTGTACAAAAACATATCGCCATCCTTTTTATTTTCTTTGGCAAAACAGAGATAACAATATGTAAATCTTGCACAGATTATTAGTTAGAATTTATATTCTTTTTACGTTTGTAATAAGGTTTACTTTTAATTATATTGTAACTTAAAACTAATAAATATTTCGTAGGCATTGTGTAGAAGTGTAAATCTTCCTTACAAAAGATTTCAACGCAACCCTCTGTGATTTATTACTACGACAATGTGTTATACCACAAAAAAAAACCTTTAGATATTTCTAAGAATCTTAAATAACACAAAAATATGTTAATAATGTAAATCTTTTAGTGAAACTGATTTAAAACGCAAACGGAATAGTAAATACAAATGCGAGATGTTATGGTAAGAGTTTCTTATGTAATAATTCGTATCACAAAATGTATATTTGAATATGTTACTTTTTAAAAATACGTGAAAGGAGATTTAATTACTTATCACTATCACTATTTTCTACGTAAGACAATGTTATGCGTAAAGAAATCGAAACTATTTCGTGTACACAATGTCCAAATACACAGCTCAAGTTTTACGTGTTAGAAAGACGTAAAAATTAATATATATGTAGCTTAACAAATATATGTAAAAACTTCATAATAAAGTTATAAAATATGTTAACTTTTCGTATCCTGAATAACGAATATTTAATGAAACATAAATTTATACTTTCTTATTAGAATGATGTTTAAAAAAACTAATAAATTAATATTTAGATAAATTTAATTAAGTTTCTAATCCATAACTTCAATCCAACATATATAAAATGTCTACACTATTTGATAGAGAAACCTTTTTACAATCAACTTGTCTGTAAGTCACCAATTTATGTATTATAAATAAAATTTAAAGTGTTTTTTTCGGTAGTAGGGAATTTTGACGACGCCAGAGGAGGCTTCTATTTAGTGTACCGTAAATCATTCAGTCACTTACCATCTCTGAGTACGACAATGGGCAAGGTATCGTCTCCGCCGGCATATCCATGTATTAACAGGATGGTTTCGTGCGAGGGCTCCCAACCGCTCTGTCTCAACCAGTCCTCGCTGAATAAATCTACCTGTGAACAAAGAAATGTTATAATAGCTAACAAACTTCATACAAGTATACGAATGTGAGATTAAACGCACGCATAATCTTTAAGGAGTTAGTATAAATCTAACCTAAATTATTGTTTAAGAAACCATAAGTTGAATCATCATCAACATCTCCTTGTCCTTTTCCTACTAACGAGGCTTTGGCGAGCAAAGTTTTATAAACCTTAATGTTTTGTCTTTTCTTGGTGAAAAATAGTATTCAACAATAGAGATCGGATAGTGTCCTTCCAAAAAGACCTGTGTTCATCTTACTTCTTACTGCATATAATAAACGTGAATGTTTAGATGGATGTTTGTTTGAAAGTATCTCCGGAACATAGGCTATTTATAAACTATTTTTAATTCCGCGCGGAGGGAGACGCGTGCGACAACTAACTTAAGACGATTGCGTCTTGTAAAATTAAATTACCTAGGCTAATCTAGATTCGCAGTAACACATTCACCTTTCGTACGTGTTAATAATTGCAGCGTCGCGTCGGCCGCATTCTTTGGCCATCGTCAAAATATGCGTGCCCCGTATACGGATGTGTTCCGGTATTTGCCAACCTTACAACGTTTTGTGTCACAAAATGCACACGTTTATATTAATTTGTTAATATGTAATGTTTAATCAAATAATAATTTGTTATTTTATCACGAAACTATCGGATATTGAGGATATTTCCCATTAATTAATAATATTATTCTCAATTTAATAAATAAAATATTTTCATGTAAGGGAAGTACTTTGCTCCTTTAATACAGGTCTTCCTAGTTAAGGAGCCAAGGCAAAATTGAATTTTAAACTTTCTGTATAACAATATAGATTTTTTCATTTTATTTTATTTTTATTTTCGATGAAATACTCGTATAGTCTTATAACACTCTGCGAAAAAATATGAATTGAATGATACAGCATTTGTCAAAATCGATTCAGTCGTTTAGTCTACAGAAGGTAACAAACATACCAACAAATATATTAATAATTTTCTTTGTATATACGAGTATGTATAAACTCTTGAATCTATTCTTGCTTGTATGTGTCGTCAAACAGCATAGAAGCACGTATTTAGTCTTTTTCTTTTTAATTCATTGAGCACAAGGCCACAGAGACTTGCCGTGTATTGTTTACATAAGAATCAGGTAGCAACCGAATACATGAATGAAGAAAGGATACCCTTGTGCCTGGGGACGACTAGCGGTATTTTAGCGAACTATTGAATAAATAATGCAATATATAGATCGGAACTTGTGACATAGAATTTAAGAAAGTTTTTATATTAATGTATCACTTATTTGATATTTAACAGGCTTTTGACAATTTTACACATTGGGACACATATTTTATAAGTTAATTATATTTTCATTATTAAAAGAAAAAAAAAGGAACATATCAGGATCGATTTAAATTCTTTATCATTTAATTAATATTTGTTGTAATTTTTTTTCGGACGGATCTCAATGAAATTTAGTATACATTTAGAACTTAATGTGGAAGAACACATATGCTACTAATTATGTCTTGTTTTTAATTCCGCGCGGATGGTGTCGTGCTCAACCGCAAATTTTAAATAAAGAAAAAGTTGAGTAATTTATAGTGTATCTACTATGTTATTAACTCTTTTAATAATTGCTGCAACCACTTAATATAAACAATGAGATGAATTATCAGCTCGTGGAGAAAAAATGCAATATTCCATCTAACATTATTGAGTTTAATTACAGTGTATGACTCTACAATTTACGTAGATAGTAGTGAACAATAATTTCATGTTAATGTGTAAGACAAAAAGTTTTTATACGAGATTTCGAAACAACATTTTTTTTAAAACATCGATAATTTTCTTTCTCCTAGAATATCGTAAGATAAGAAATTATTCGGCTGTTTTTTATGTTACTTATTAGACTACAATTCTATCTCTAGTTTTATTGGAGAAAAGAAAGTGTTTCCATTTAGAAATCGTTAGAAAAACTGCTTTGTATTCTACCAAGGCGTGCATAACGGACGTCGCGTACACCACGAGGATACGTTAATAACTTAAAGTTGTAACAGGTCGCGGACTGTATTCCTTACCTGATTTTATGAACTAGTTCACTAATAAACTATATAGATTAAAAAATAATGGAGTATACTAAAGAAAGTATGTAATTTCTCACTCAGTCGTAAGTCTGTCGTAAGGTGTCCGTTGCAAATATAGGGAATGTGTTATCGTGGTCTTTCACTACCGAAACACGATATACAGCGTGTTCCAAAATTCAACGATAAAACGATAATGGTGTATAGCCAGATTGATAACTACAATGGAAAAATTCTAAAATTTATCGTTGATTTTCGGGGCACGCTGTATATCGAGATAATATGTATTTTCGTCAATAGTAATTTACATTTAAATTAAACACGAGAATATCACCACTGCATAAATGCCTCCACAAAATGCAGGTATTTCGAAAAATATGTACGTACAGTTTTCTTGAAAGGCTCCGACTCCGTATACAAATTGATGATGACGTTGGGGTCAGGACATGGCTCCCGATCTCTTCGCCACACGCAATCCTCGAACGAAGCGTTTGCGTAGATATCATTGTTGAGTAGTAGAGCCTCCTTGATAGGCTTGCGTTGACCACAAACATCTGAAACAAGAGAAAACATTATGATTTTTTTTAATAAGCCAAAGTGTAAAATCAGATATAGACATAAATAATTTAATATGTAGTTTAAATATTTATGGCTGTTTTTAAAGCTGGCTCTATCTTTTAGTGTTTACTTAACTTTACGAATGATAAAGCTTGTGAAGACAAGACGCAGAAATATTACTCTATATTGTTGCTAAACTTTTAGATTAAAACAATATTAATTTTATATTATTTAATTACAATTTGACAATAATACTGTATTCATTTAAATTAACTTTCAAAAATCATGAAACTTTTTAAAAACAACATTTAAATAATTATATTATAAAAAAGTTATAAAATTATTATGCCAAAAACAAATGATAAAAGTAAAAAAATAATCGAAACAAGCTAATTATTATTCAGTGACATATATTATGTGATTTGTACATACCGTGAGGAAATAGTGTTATAACTACGATGAAAAAAGACGCGAATTTGTTACGAGGCATGTTCGCCTGCCGCGGTCGGTTGCTAAACTGAACTGGTGGCAAGAGACGCGTTACGAAGTGCCTACAATACGAAATTCGCACACATAATGTTATGTTTTAAATCACTTAAGGGTTAGAAAGGTTTTATAATAAACCTACATTTTAAACATGAGTTAAATCGCAGGATGTCTTTTATTTTATAAACGTAATTTAGTAATGGATGGAGATTGATTTATGGAAGGTTAAGTTTAGTAATAGCAATATACCTACGCTACTAATAGAACTGTCAATTTTTTTTTTATATTTTAATTTAGAAAATTAGTTTAAAAAGTGGTTATTTATATAAAAACAAGCCTTTTTATGGGCCCCACAAAGCCTCCTTCAGACAGACGCTTCATATTTTTATTCCCTCATCTCTTGTCCACCTTCGCGTTTAATTGTTCCCTTTTAATTTATAGCAGAAGGTGGCAAATGAGAAAGCGTCCAACTTTTGTCACTGAAATAGCAAATTTACCGCAGCGTCCGCCTACCGTCCGTGCAAACCCGTGTTAATATTCGTTCACTGTAAGTATAATTAATGCACAATTGTAGTATTGAATAATTGAATTTAAGTTGTGTCAGGCGCTCTGAATGAATAGCCTCATAATTTATTAAACAAAGAATATTGTACAATATGGTTTTAAATTCTTTATAAGATTCCAAAGCTCCAACATAAGTAAAAGCTGTAAAAATTTATATTGTTTAAGAAAGTTTTTCTGTATTATTTTTACATAAAAGTAAACTAAAGCATATGCTTTATGATTTTGGTTTAGCTTATGCATTATAATAGTACGTAGAGCATAATAATAAAAGTCACTAGGAAACATGAGTTAAGCGCTTATGCACACTCCACCACACACCAAAATATTTCGTCTTTTTTTTAATGTGGCCCTTTGAACTGTCCCAGAGAAAGCGAGAGTGATACTTCTGTAATATTCAGGCACTATACGGTAGGTATTTATTGCTTTTAGAACTTTAGACGCAATCTTGTGGACGATCAACAGGGCGATTACTTTTCATTTTCTTTAATTTAATATTTTTGATAACTTAATATTTTTGACAACTTCAGTAGTGTTTTTGGCGCTTTTGCTTTTTCAGAACATTTCATATAATACATACGTAAGTACTTATATAATTGAACTGTGCTATCAAGGTCATTTGTCTGTCTAATCTGGTACTAAACCAAACTATGCAAGTTGTTGCGTTGAAATCGTATATCTCTACACATGTACCTATGAAAAGAATCAGCGAAATCTCAAAGACTCTACACACGTAGAGGAGGCTTTACGTGTGCGGACACAAAGTGAATGATTGTTCTTTGTTTGTGTGCGTGAGCGCAGGTGAGAGAGCGCGCGGCGGAGCGGGACGGCGCGACAGCCTCCGCGCAGGCGCCGCGCACTGCCGCGCCGCCGACAGCCACAGCCAGTCCGAGACACGCGCCCGTGCTCGCGCGCACTCGCGTATCTACCAATATAACCTTGTTTCGACAAAACAACATAACACAAAACATCAGTAGTTAAAGTTCGCGACGCAATTACAACATACAAATAACAAAAACATACGCCATTAAAGTGTTCTGCTACCGTCGCCATTCTTTAAAAGTACATCGATCGATCTAATTGTGCGAATGCCACGGTCCACAACCTACGCGACCGGCGGCGTTCCCCTGCGACGTTCATTCAAGGACCATTCGTTGAACCTATGCCGCTCCGGTATTCGCGTGCGCACAAACCCGTCGACTCGGAAATGAACCTCCAAGTGAGCGAGGCGGAGTACCGATCCAGCTGATGACAGTCCGCAATTCGGCTGCAACTACGATGTCAATCAGTCAGAACGCCGGACAGTTTAACAAGCAGAAACAGCAAGCGGCGGCCAAGCAGAGCTCCGAGCCCATTACCTATCCACCGCGCTACCATCCGCCACCGTCCACCGCCGGATCGAAGGTCGACGCTACCGCCAAGGAGTTCAAGCCGCCATACGCAGGGAAGCCTATCGATCCCAACAAGATTGTGTACCCTCCTGCTATACACGGCGCAATACCCGGCCCTTATCAGGTGGGTCCATATCCGCATTTGAAATATCCGCAGGGGTACCCGACTGGCTACCCTATTCCTCCTGCGGCCCTGCGCGTGCTGCGACCCGGCGGAGAGATCATAACGAAGGCTATCGTGCATGAGCCCGTGGAGACAACGACGCGCGCGCGGAGCGCAGACGAGGCACAGCGGGCGCAGCGTAACCTAGAAGAAGAACAGATTCATAGGAGATCCGCCGACATGCTCAAGTTCACGAAGCGCATTGAACCTGAGGGCCCGCGAGCCTCCACCGACCAGAGGCGGCAACTGCAGGCATTGCTAGACGAAATAAAGGCACTAAAGGAGGCGAACCGCCGCCTCAGTGAGGACAATCAAGAGCTCCGCGACCTGTGCTGCTTTCTCGACGACGACCGACAGAAGGGCAGGAAGCTGGCGCGCGAGTGGCAGCGGTTTGGTAGGTACACGGCCTCAGTAATGCGGCAGGAGGTGTCGGCCTACCAGAGCAAATTAAGGGAACTGGACGATAAACAGCAGGAATTGATTCGCGACAATTTAGAATTAAAGGAGCTGTGTCTGTACCTGGACGAAGAGCGAGAGAGGAGCACCTGCGTGAACTGCGGGCGCGCTGCGGGCCGCGAGCGTGACGACGGGGATGGCAGCAGCGGCGGCACCAATGCAGAGGAGGCGCCGCGCCCCGCACCCGCTCCCGCCCCTCCCCTTACACACCCCCAGCTCGCGGAGCGCACCGTGCAGTATGTGCGTGATCTCGAGCAAAAAGTGCGGCGACTGGAAGCCGAAAAAGGGGTAGGCAGCGGTCTCAATGAGAGACCAGAAGCGGTCGTGCGCGCTCTGCAAGTATTGGAAGTGAGAGAGCGCGTGGAGCGCGAGAGAAGAAGGCCGGCGCCAGATCTGGACACCGGAGAACAGGCTTTAGTACGAGAGATGTGTAACGTGGTTTGGGGAAAATTGGAGGACGCGCCTCCGCAGGCGCCGCAGCGTTAAAGTTGTTATAAAACATTTAATGATTCCATTTTGATGTTATTGAGGTGAAACTGTATCTAAGTTCGATGAAAGTGCGTAAAAAGTAGTCGGCAAACGCGGAGCATCGGCAGTGGAATCCTACCCTATTGAGGTCACCGCCGGTGTCGACTCTCGTGACCCAAAGACTCGCGACCTTGTTTATTAATCGAGTGTGTAACTGAACTTATTAGTTTTTAAAACCGTGATGTTTTGTATATCTTGCCCTTTACAAACAGTGATTACAGGAAAATATGTTGGGGAAACGAAACCTAAAAGTACAAAGTTGATCTAGATTTTAGATATATTTATTTTTAAGAACATTTCTTGATTTGCTCTTCGACATGTTTTTTTATAGATCTTTTACTAAATATTATAAAGATTAAATTTAGTTTTTAGGAGCTTTTGTTAATGAGGCTATATTTCAGTTTCAAAATCCTAAACTAACCGTTAGTTTTTGCGACCAAAATTTCTGAATAAAACGTATCGTCATCCCTGTCATTATCTTTGACAAAACAGAGATAACAATATATTTTAAACGGAGATTTTTGGCTTAAACTTATACGAATGCTAATGACGCTAACTTTGAACTGTCTGTTTTTATTTTACATGTGAATAATTCTTTAAAATTGTTAAGACTATGCTTATTTTCATTGTTTACTTGTAAACAATGCAGATTCCGTGATGTACATCTATAAATAATATTGTCTCGGAGGTGTGTCACGCGGAAAAAAGAAAGTTCTCTGACTAAGTTTTAGGTTATGCTGAGCTAGCTATAACTAAGTACAACATATAGTTTCTGTCAGAATTTTTTTACAAAATCGGTCTGGTTCTTATCATATTGTTATTATTATTGCCAGTGCTATGTATCTTCTTACTAATTTACATTTTATTTTTTTATTTTAATGTTTGTATTGAGAACAGACTGGCCGAAAAATTGTTCCTTGTTTTTTTTTAAACATACATTTGTTACGTTTGTTTGTTTTCATCATGTTACATTTGATTACGATGACATGTTTCTTAATTGAAATTATTTAAGGATATTTCCGTTTTAATACTAATAAAGCTTTTACTGTGCATACAGAGAATTGCTTGTCTAGTCAACCATATAGCCGTTTAACCTTGAGTTTCTATAAGTAGGAAGACATATTGTCATCCCTTTCATTAACCTTAAAAAAAAAACAAAGGTAACAATATGTTCAAACTCACGGTAACACGTTCTGATTTCATACCACTGCGGTAACTTTTCTAGAAATGTTATTAATTTATTGATCTTAACTTTAATGGAAATAAATTATTTGTGTTTAAATTGCTTTATATTTTATTTTTATTTATTATAATTGTGTAAAAAAAGGTTTAGAAAATTTAACATGTTAAAATTCATATACATTATCCCTGTTTCTCCCCTGATTTTTTTTTGCGCTAACTAAAGAAATGAGACAGAGACAGATAAAATGTTTTTACATTGTAAAGTCTAATGCGAATGACCGTTCGTATGTATTGTTGAGGGGCAGTGACTTCTAGCGAATGATTCTCGAAGCGTTAAGCCTATCATTTTGTTCTTACATGGACATAACATTATTATTATTACAACGCATTGTTTTATTTTTTTAGTGCATATTTGAAAAATATAGGTAACAGTATAAGTAAAAAAATATTGTTAAAGCAGTTATAATTTCTTTGTAACTTATCTTTCATTTTACGTGCCTGGTAAATGGACACCCAAATTTTAAACGTTATATTGCTAGTTTAAATGTAGTCGAATTGATTGTACTTGAAACAACAAAGAGGAGACCTACACACCCGAAAAGAAGGCAATCTGAGATGCTTTGTTTGTGTCCGAGTGTAACCGTAACTACAAAAACTAAATATCATCTCAAAAGGAATGAATGAGACGAAAGTATGTTTTCATTCGGGTTTTTCACCAGTGGAAATTCATGGTTACCAAATATGTTTCAGTCATTTGAAGCAAAGTTAACAGGGCATATCCAGTATTTGTAAATCTACGTCATTATTTTATAGCAGACTCTTGTGTAAAAACAAAAACTCAAATGTCATTTAAATGACAAAAAAATATCTGTCACATGTAACGCTTTATTTAATCCTTCAAATTATTTTTATTTAAATAATTGATTTTTAGGATTATTGCACGCAAGTATAAACTCGATAACGTTAGTATAGTAACATTAGTGAATAAATATGCCCGAAATGAAAGGAGAACGTGGCGAAGATGAGGATACTATTGGCGTAAGATACCTTTGTGACCTTGACTTCTAAACCTAAGCCTATGCGATATGTTTTAAATCTAATTTAGGATACTATCAATAAATTCCTCAATTGACGCCTGATAATAAGAAATAGCAAATATGATAGCAAGACGCCCAACTGCAACGCGACAAACAGAAGTCGGAATACATTTTGTCTTTTTTTATAGATTTATGTCGGAGGTAGGAACATTGAAGGCGAAAGACACGGCGAGGGCTGGGCCGTGCTGCCCAACGGCGACTTCTACCAGGGCTGCTACTGTCGCGGACTCAGAAACGGGAAGGGCTTGTATGTGTTCAAAAACGGCGCGCGCTACGAAGGTAGGAATAATAGACGAGATCCCAACTTGTGGCTGAGTTTGTTTAACTTTATTATTTTACTCAAGGTGAATGGCGTCGAGCTATGAAGTACGGCGTGGGGCAAATGACATACCCTGACGGGTCCCGTTACGAGGGCGATTGGAGATATGATTTGAAACAAGGTTTCGGAGCTTACTACTACCCGAACGGCGATATTTATGAAGGTGCTTGGTTCAAAGGCAAACGCCACGGACTGGGGACATATTTTTACGCAGAGTACCAAGTTAAATTCATGGGAACGTGGGTTGACGGTGTGATAGAAGGGCCAGGTCAAATCATGTATCCTCGAGTTCGGTTCCACGGTTCATGGTTTAAAGGTATGCCAAAAGGTCCTGGCTGTTTCGTATTCGATACGAATTGCATGCAGCACGGGTTCTACGAGCTGATCAAAGATCCAAAATTTGAGGAGTACGGTGAACACGAAGAAGAAAAGGAGGAAAAAGAGGAGAAGGAAGGGAAATTTGAAGGCGAGGAAGAGCTAGAAGTAGACGAAACAGCGGGTAAACAAAATCAACTTCTATTTAAATTAATTTTAAAAAATTTATAATTGAAAAATATGGACCACATTTTACTACGTAATGTTTTCTACGATTGGTTAAGGCCCTTGTATACCAATTTCTATTTCAGCCTATCCTTCTCCTTAGTGGGCAAACTTTTGTCTCAAACGGTTCCTTCACAGGTAAGATATCAGTGTGGCGCGCGCGTAACGTGACTGCGTACTTAGCGGAGTTCTTACCGCCGGAGCCAGTCCCGCTGCCAGTGCACGACTCGGTGCCATCACTAACGCATGAAAGCGTCAGCACCGAACTGATGCAGTTCGAGCCTCCGACCCTGGCTTCCGAGCATGAGGCCGACGACAACGATTCATGGTTGCTGCATCGACAGCAGTTCATCGAAGAGGCGGAACAGAAAGAGTAATGGAGGCAGATATAGAACTGTTACTTTTGATATTTGCGCCGCACCTGTACATCATCTCATATGGGTTATCTGTTAAATGATGTTTGCAATAAAATTTCTTGCCAATAATTCTTGCTTGTTTTCTTTGTGATTGTCATACTTTGACATATGATAACATCAAGTCCCAGACAGCATTTATAAATTTACAGTCATTGTGGGAATGTCCCAACTTATTTGGTAAAGATATTATATTCAAACAAGTGCTGGATTATTTGTTCCATCCCTTTTTTTGTATACTATTAACTTTTGCTACCTAAATAAAGCAGTTTTGTCAAATTCCAAGATATATGCCCTATATGCTTTCCCGGACAACATTTCTCTTGAATAGCTGTACTTTGTTACAGCAAATTTTTATCTTCAGTCATGATGTAATAAAAGTATGAATTACAACTTAAATATTTATTACAATTGGTATAGTTAATACCTATTCAGTAGACACAGCGATATTAACTTAGTTCAGAAAGAGATCTGTCTTTGCCCCAAATAAAATTAAAGACTGTCATTAAAATCATAACAAAAGTATATTATTTACCATGGGTTTCTGAGACCTAGATCTCATTTGAAAAATACTGTTATCTCTGTTTTGTCAATGATAATTTGTTTTATTCAAAGATTTTGGCATCAGAAACCCATGGTTAATTGGCACTCATTTCTCGCCAACTAAATTATATTATACATGACATCCAGCAGAATATAGCTTCTTGGAACAAAAGTAAATAAGCGGCAATTCCATGACAGGTCTTTTTCTAAACAAATACTATCATTGATATGAGATTAAAAGCTAACATGTAATCGGCTAAACAGGACATAGTGAATACAAATAGAGATTTTTACAAGTGATTTTGGATTTAATGAAGATTTTTGTAGATCAATCTGTTATATACATTAATATTGTATGAATTATTGTTGTATAGAATTATGAACAAACATTAAAAGAGTACATCATCATCCAAACTTTATGTTGTCTTTGAATATTCCAATAAACTACATAGATAACTTTAGGTATAGGTAGTATGTAAAAAATGTGAAATGCAAACCTATAAGTACATTTCCTCCGCAATGACCGTGGCACTTTAGCAGGCACGGACTTACAACCTAGAGTTCATCAAGTTTGAATCTTATACAAAAAACAACGGAAAATGATGTCCACATCATATTTTGTCTACATAAACATCACATTTTTAATGGTTTATGTGATGGTATACATTTTAAAGTTATTGGCTACATTAGGTTAAACAGCTGTCTACTGTGTGTCACAGAAACTGTTATAAGAAAAAATTTCTTATAAATATTGGCAATAAGGTCCATTTATGTTTATTGGTAAAAACAAAATTAGGCAAGTTACAATACTTCTATTTAATGAGATCAAGGCTCTTGCTTTGCAATGTACAAAGCAGTGTTAAGTGTATTGTTTCAAAAGGACTGCAGAATAGAAATTTATTCTATATGTATAAATCTGTGTATTTTGTGACTTCATCAATTTAATAAACTTTATTGCCAATTTATAAGCATGATACTAAAGTTTTTATGGTTCCCTTATGGGCATATTATGCTAAATTAAATTAAAATTTATCTATGTTTGTGAATTTGGTGGTGCATTGTTGTTTGTTCCGGCATTATTATTTTCAAATGTATTTTTATTCTTAAGTAGATAAGCAGCCAAGTAACTGATGGGATCTGGCGGCCTCTCTTTAGCCAATGCTGATAGTCCTTGTAATAATATAGGAACAACTGTTTGGTCTAGGTATTGGCGTGTAGGCAGTGCATTGAGATCAATTCTTGATTTTCGATTAGCATTCGTTTCGTTCTCTTTTTCCATGCCTATAACTTTCTGGAAATAGAAGCGAAATCACAGCTAAAATTTCAATATTTTTTTGGTTTAGCGGATGATGTATAAAAACTTTTGAAAACATTTATTACCTTTATAGAATCAGGTATTTTCGCTGACGGCTGATCGTCCTTAGGGGCTTGACTCGCTGTTATGGAGGTATCTGACATCGGTTGCAGTTATTTTTTGACGCAGAACCGGCTTTATAAATAAATTATTCTTTTTAAATAATAAAATAAACCCCTGCTTACACTTGACCAACAAAAAATATCAGAAAATGGTTCAAAACTCAAAGATTAATAAGCAGGATGACAGTTATAGATTATGAAGTTCATTAAAGTGACATTTTAAGAATTTTGCTCTTTGATTTAAGAAAAGACAAACGTCACAGATAAAAAAATGCGATGTATGAAAAAATTTTATATACTCTTTGAAAATGCAGTCAAACTAGAATATCTGAGTCAGTGAGAAAAATTGCGGTTAATAAATCTACATGGCCATGGGCAATATGTAAATTCTCCATAGGCATAGAAAAGGGCATAAAGAAAAAGATTTCATTATAGGTACCGACAGTACGATATAAAATATCCTGCTATGATACAAAGGCACAATATGAACATACAAAATATCTATTCCAAAAATTCAAAATAAATTTTGCTCACGAACTTGAAATACTCTCACTGGTAAATGATACGCCAATGTTTCGACTTACACCATTTATTCTATTGTACGTTCTCAAAGTTTTAAATTACTTTTTTGATCCTTTTAAGTTCTTAATTTTAGACATTATTTAATAGTTAGAATCATTTAGAGCGAATGGCGCGCTTTTGTTACCACGTCAAATGTCAGATAGATTAGTGAGGGAACATAAACGTTAACATTTTTCATAAGGCTAGTATTGCGCGGATACACCAGCTCTGTGTCGGATTTTCTTCCTGCCAGTAATAATATCCGATAGTTATTTTTTTATTTATAACGTTTGATTTGGTTTAATTTTGTCGTTTAAAGTTCACTTAAATATAACAAGGAATAAGACAATCGAAAACGTATATCTTATCATTTATTTAGAAAAAACTTAACTAAACAATAAAACTTATTTTACAATTCACACCATATACATACGTTTGCCACACTGTATTATTTACGTAGGTTAAATCTTCCAACGTAAACACTACCTACAAATAGCAAGCAAAGATGTCTATCTGATTAGTCAGGTACCTAAATTGCTAGTAATTATCTTGGTTTCCTATTTAACATCTTGCAAAACATTTTACAAGCACTCAAACAGATAAATAAAATCAGGAAATGATTTCTCTTCCTTCTATGAATTCAAAAACAATCGACCATAAAGCATTGTTTGGTTTTTGTTTTTATATTTAAAATGCGTCCGCCGTTATTTGTTTATTTATATCTTTTCAAAATTGCCCTTGACATTGAAAATGTTTTGGTAATAAATAATTTGACAAAACAATCTCAAGTAATTGCCAGGTGTTAATAGTAAATGACCCAAATCATCTTTCACGTAAAAGGTGAAGAGTCGACGTACATATTTATAAGGACGAAATTTTAACGATAACAATTATCGTTGTGAAATTTATGAGGGATCATTCTATCAGTTAACTATGTCTTTATGATATAATTTAATTTCAAATTGGCGTAATTCTTGTTATCCTTGTACTGTCTTATGTATACAGTTATAAAACAATAAATAAAAAAGGTCAATTTCTCCGTAGATTGTACTTGACAAAGACATCGGTAGGATGAGGGTACTAAATCAATGAATAATTTGTTCAATAATTTATTGGTAGTTAGGTGCGCAGGTAGTGCGGGGGCGGCGGCGGCGGCGCGGGGCGGAGACGCGGCGCACGTTCCAGCTGTCTTCGCCAGGCTGCCATGGCTTCGCTTAGGGACCACAGCTCTGATAGAAGGCAGAGGTCCAACTGACGTAGACTGGCCTGGAAAAGATAAACACAAAGGTTAACATTTGCAAAATTCGGTCAAACTCGACTTTTTAAAATAAGTCACACTTGTGTTTTTGTTAGTCTAAATTACGGCGTTTTATTAATCAATTATAGTTGCCCTTTAGAACTATTAAGTAGCTTGTTCTTAGACTATAAATAAAACGGTACATGGCTTCGTGTTATATAATTTAGAATTACTCTGTGACAGGAAGGTACTAACGTAATAGCTAGTGTAAGACTTAAGTCTTCTTAGTTGTAACATAAAATTCAAACACTTAGTAAGACGATAATCAAACGTGTATGAACATTTTTGTATTATAAACCAGATGATATCTAATAATATAATACAAGGATCTTTTTAGCCCTACGATAGCTACATATTTATTTTATCGAATTAACTGAACCTTTCTTAGCAAAGGAAGGTAAGAATAGGATTTGTATAAGTAAATAAATAGTCAGGGTAAACATTTTCCATAACAAGGTTATATTTAATTATTATTTTTATAGCTTCTCAAAGCTACTTATAAAATGTTAGTTTTCTCAAGGAAATCCGGTTTTAATACTAGTCAAATAGAGTCAAAATTTATAGGGGAAGGTGTTTCAATAGTTTAAAGTCATTCATGCGTAGTTTAGTGTGGCTGATACTGGGTCAAGGAGCGGTACATGGGCCTTGCCCACCTAGCGTGGAGGTGCCGCGAGTAAGTACTATTGAAAGGCACCATTTAGAGATTAGGTATAGACAATTCCACTGATAAACCATCTGTCCCAAAACATATGTTTTTACAAAGAAAATGTGAATTAGAATATGTTTTTTTAATTTTTATAATTTATCTAACTATTAAGGTTTTATTAACTTTATTTTATTTGACACTTAACAGTGAATGTTCAGATTGTAATTTAAATCAACTTTCAATTGCTCAATATCTAGAGTAGTTATACAATCTAGTATAAATAGAGGTCTAGTGTAGGTACAGTAGCGTATGATTTGCACTGGGCGACAAGTGGTCGGCCTTAGCGTTCACCGATTACGTTAGGAATGCGCTGTCGATGTGGGTCGCCGTTCGGGGAGATATGCGCACCGTTTGTGCTCCGTACACCTGTCACGTCCGGCACCAGCTGACAGGCACATATAATGTCACTACGCTATGTCAATTCCAGGGCACTGACAGAATCGTTTGAAGTTCCATACGTCCTGCAAAACATTTGGAATACGAGAGGTTCTAGTACAGCCATGATGTATGGGACAACAGTCTTAGTTTAATTTAACTTATCAGCCTGACTCTCACTGTGGGTTTCTGAGACCAAAATCTCTGTATAAAACATATCGTCATCCCTGTCATTATCTTTGACAAAACAGAGATAAAACTATGATTCAAATGGAGATTTTGGACTCTGAAACCTACGGTGAGTGCTTGTTCATATCAAAATCGTGGGCACGGGCACGACAAACCGATTCAAACCGGTTAAAGTAACTCGACATCGCGAGTAAATCGCGAGCTCAGCCGCTAGTTATGTGTGAATGCTCTCACATAACGTCATATGTTCGAAGTTTCGCGACCGCGCTTGCGAGTACCATGTAAACAAGCACGTATGGTTTGGGAAGTCCATGGGACTAATCTTTGCAGTAATTTGTGAAGGTTGACGCAAAGAAGACAACTGTAAGCTGTTGTTTGATAATGAAGATGGGGTTGGTCGTAAGTTATTAATAATGAAATCACCACAATAAGGCAAACTTAGTTACATATGTTTAAAAATGTTTTTAAATAATTTATTCAGAGGCTAAGAGTCATTAATTAAAATTCGTTAAGCATATTAACTGATATTATAAAAGTCTTTTAGAATTTAAATTGTAATCAATTAATACATTAAGATTACGAGTTCGATTTCTAAACGGCATATTTCGAAAAGAAAACTCGATAAAATGCCGCTTTCTTAGGCGTATAACATTTTATAGCTTAAATGTCAGCTTGCCTATGAATTGTCACAATCGTAAAAGTTACACTATAAATATTACATGATCTCACATGAAGAGATAAAACTTTTTTGTGGTCGTCTTTTATTTTAAGGTACTAACCATGGGTTCCTAAGACCAAAGTCCTGGTTTAAAATATATTGTTATCTCTGTTTTGTCAAAGACAATAGACAGGGATGAAAATATGTTTTATACAGATATTTTTATCTCAGAAACACAATTAGAACTGGCCTTCAACTTATTTTTTGTTACAAAAGTATCAAAAGAAGAATCTTTTGATGCTTTTCTAATATCGTTATTTAAACTTACTTTTTGGTACCTATCTTAGTTTTTCAGAGAGTGACGACAATATTTTCAATTCATTTTTTTGGCAGTGGAAACTCACTGCTATATTTATTTCTTACCTTGTGTGCTTTGTTTCTGCACAAGTGCATGCTTAAGTTACTTATTAGAGCATAACATTAATACGGTGCACGTCGAGTGGATGCAGGTACTCCTTATTAGAAATACTTTGGCAGTTATGTGAACCAAAGTTTAATTTGCATTTACGAATCGTAGGATTTTGTAATTTTACTAATATTATAAATGCGAATGTTGGGATAGATTGATGTTTAAAGATATCTCTAGCTCAACGGAGCTTGATGAAATTTGGCATGGACGTAAAACATAGCCTGGAAGAACACATAGTCTACTAATTAAGTTTTTTTAAATTCTGCGCGGCCGGAGTCGCCGCCGACAGCTATTCCAACATAAGTTTAATACAACAGGCCGTCTCACTAATCAAAGTGAGTCATTCTTTGTAGCTTAGTTCTGTTTATGAATACACAATTTTATGTTGGATATCGAACTTTAGTATTGATACCAAAACCAATAGATAGTCTATGGTCTATGCCTATGAAAGGTAAATGGCCTAAAAGGTAGAATGGTCATGCGGGCCGAGAGAGCGGGACATTTCCACAACGAACTATAAATAAGACTAACAACAAAAGTCAATTTGCGTGTCGATTGAAATGTTTTTCAAAATACGAGTAGCATAAAACTGTGAGTGTCCAGTCTCTAATTCGGGATGTGGACAAAGGAACTAAGTTACAATGCTTAGTGTGAAGTGGATATTTGCATAACAAAAAAAATATGAAGAGGACGACTTAATAAGTTGATACCTAACTTAAAACAATCAAAAAATATATTAAACATTAAAGATTGCAGAAATTTGCACAGATCTCGCGCGTATCGAATCTTGGTCTAGCAATCTCGCGTGACGTCACCAGTGAAGCGTGACGGCAAACTTTTTCCTCGCATTCCCGACGAGATTGGTCAGGAAAGGGGGAAAGTGGATATTAGAGTCCGCACGAGCCACCGGACATGAGGTATGCGCTATTTTATTATATAGAATATCTTGTTAGCATAGCTTTATAATGTGTTTTGTAATTGCATTGTAGTTTTAAATCCAGTATTATAAATGCAAATGTTTGGATGTATCTCCAGAATGGATAGATGGAGGACATAGGAAGAACACATAGGCTAGTAGCGTAATAAAGATTTTTTTAATTTTGAAACGGACGGAGTCGCGTCGACTTTTTCAGTAAATATACATATTTGTTTTTTGGAAAATATTAAATGATGCATACCTTTATTATAATTGATTAGGAAATAGTTAATACATATCTTAGCCTTTCTTAATATAAATGCCGTTCACCGTAATTTATTTTAAAAGGTCTCGTAAAGGTTTACTGCCTACATAAGTACTATCTAGAGATATTCCAACCTTTGACGTCACACTTCAAGAGATTCTATTTCTGGGTATCGAGATTAAGAATATGGAACATGCTATAAACGTAAATCGATTGAAATAGAATGAATTTCAGGCTAAAAACTAAAAAAAAGAAAATCGTAAATAATATTATAAAAATGGATGTTAGAACTATACTAGGATATAAAAAAACTTCTAAACTATAAAAAAATACAGATTAATAGTTGTATAACTTTATAAATAGCCATATAAATTAATTGGCATACCATTGGTACTTTATAACATTGTACTATTCAAATTGTAAGCATAATCTTGTTATCGACATATACAGCGCTACTGGAGGAAAGAGGAACGCGGATTTATTTATACTACTGATAAATCCCTGTATGTATGTATTTTTACGTAACGACAATAGTAATATTAAATTTTTTATTGCAGACTCATGGTCCATACGGTGCATAGAAGAGCGACGGTGGCTCAAGAGTAAAGCATTTGACTTGCAATCTGCAGGTCCTGGGTTCGAATCCCGCCATGTACCAATGTGTTTTTCGATTTTCGATTTACATATGTACATTTATCCGACGTTCTTACGGTGAAGGAAAACATCGTGATGCAACCTGCACATATCTGAGAAGAAATTCAAAGATATGTGTGAAGTCAACCAACCCGCACTTGGCCAGCGTGGTTGACTATGGCCTATTCACCCTTAACTTAGGGTAGGCTCCGAGCCTCTCGGTGGGGACGTATAGTGAGCTGATGATGATGATCCATACAAAAATACAAATACAAATAAAATCAAACTACAGCACATGTTGACATGTAAACATGGCAAACACTGGACATTCCAGACGCTCTCTATCAATAATGAGTTGCAGGTACCTGTACACTGCTCCGCACCCGCCGCATCGTAATGACAACAATAGACAAAACATTTTTTTTATTTACATACGTATGTATCCTTATGCTCTGTTCCTGTATGTAAAACTGTTTAAGACTCCATTAGATCGTCATACAGACCTTAAATCTTGTAAACGGCTTGATTAAAATTAATTGCAAGATTAACCGTTTAGAAACCAGGCGTAAATCTATGATTCTGAAATGCTCCAACCGGTCAAAATGTGCTAATTTTATACGTAGCAGACATTTATGTAAGACCTGTTTATTAAATTCGCTCACATAAGCGATGACGTACAACGATGATTAGCGTTTGTGAGTAAACAAACGAGAATCGGCAATTGGACGCCGCCGCCGATGATTACCGATCCAAATAAA